ACGTTCTACTGTCTACCAGACTCGATTAATATATATCCCTGATGTATCTACTGAGGAATCATAAAGTTAGCATTATAGGCTCCGTTCTAACTGAATGTACTAAGACTCGACTGTTCTATTTGTCTTGTTTAATGATGTAAGTTTTCCCATGTTTAAGACTATTTTTAATAGATGTCATTACCTTTTATGTGAGGAGATCATAATAAGAATGCAATGGGAAATATGAAAGTATTCAGTAATGTTATGAAAAGTGACTACTGAAGCACTTTCTACCTTATAACTAGCTTGTTAATTAAGATTAAAATGTGAGATGGTTGTAACCATGCTTGATTGACTAGTATAAGACACGACGTTCCCAAGACATCGAAAATGGTATGACATTTGTCACCCATAGACCTGCATGTCCTACTGTAGCTAGCAACAAGGTGTATGATGATCAATCTAGTATATATCTATACACAAATTCACGTTCTCCCTCTAGGAGACTCTGGTTACAAAACGCGACCTAACACGTATATTGCTAAGTTGTGAAGTAGTGGTTTGACATTATTGTTATCATGTTCTTGTTATCGTATGTTCCTTCTGTTCTTGTTATTGTATGATTTGAACCCCTAAACTATACCCTTTCTCGTTTACTAGTATGTTTGTTTGAACTGTTACTGACTTGAATAAAAGACTCATTTATCTACATAGTTATGATTGTACTTTAAAAACAGTGTTTTATAAACAATTAAAATAACATAACTTAAAAAGAGTTTTTGAAATGGTTTTGATCACTTATAAAGTATAAGAAATCCTTTGAATATGATGGTTATCACAAATAACATTTACACAATTATCATTGTGTTCAGCTTGTATCCCCCCCCCCCCCCCCGCTCAAAAGCATTTAAAAATATTTAAAAGATTGATTATAGGGGTATGAACTCACCTTATGTGGGTGATTCAATTGCAGATTCGGCTAAGGATGAGAAGTTCCACGAATGAATTCCCGAGACACAAACGAATCCTAAATGACATATAATGGCATATATAGACACGTAATTAGTGTTTTAAACAACTAATATGCAAGGAAACAACCTTGGGGACTAGGAAACACTTGAAATGAAGTGTTGAAATCACATGTGATTGATCAAAGGAGAGTGTACGGCCAAGGGAAGTGTGTTCACGACCACACTTGAGTTTATGGCCACACCAAGTGTGTACGGCCGTAAACTCATGGAAAATCATGCAAAATGGGTGTTTGATCCATGGGGGGATTAATATGTCTTAAGGTGCAACAAGAGGATGAACAAAGCTTTCAATTTGGAAGGACTTGAGGTGTGTACGGCCACACCAAGTGTGTACGACCGTAAACACTCCAAATGGATGCATATTGGGTCTTGATTCATAGGTATTTAAGGGTTCAAGAGTTCTAATGGATAACAATTACCTAGCAAGTGTTTAAGGCCTTAGGTTATGCATCAAATAAGGGTTTACGGCCATACATAGAGTATACGACCATACACTCTTGATGATCATGAGTTTGATGATGTTTCAAGGATATGAATCAAGTGCTTAACATGTCTAATTAGATGATAGAGGAAATACCCACACTGTTGGATGTCTTTGAGGAGTTTATAACCCAAATGGATAAGTGGTTCACGACCCACTTTGAAGAAAACTTGAAGATCTTTGTGTGTTTGGCTAGTGTTGGAAGATCTTAAGTTGTATTCTAAGGAGATACAAAGGAAAGAGGGTGAAAAGAGTGGAAATGGTGTTCTTGAATTTATGATACTTGAGAGATAATGGAAGGTTCTTGATGTGAAAGTGTGAAAAATGAAGAAAAGTGAAGGAATATCCTATATATAGGGCATGAGTTCACGACCTCTTGGAGTGTACGGCCGTACACTCATGTTTACGGTCATACACACCACTTGATGGTGTTTTTGGCTCGAGTGCAACATGATGAACTTAATTTAACTCATCCGTAAACCCAAACCTTAAGTGTAATAGGCTTAGAACTCATAACATGATCCTTAACAATGCTAAAAGATAGCAGAAACGAGTCTGACTCTCGATTGATTGGCTAGACTTACAAGACAAAATTTTTTGGGTTGTCACACCCTAGAAACCCTAGAATGAATAGGAGAGGGGGGAGGAAGAAGAAATTTCATTCATAAGACTCTTAGAAAGGTTATGCATGAAATTTGAAAACCAACGAGTCCTATTTATAGTTTAGTTAACTTGCAAATAAATCCATATTTGAATAACATATTTAATCATATTTCAAATCCTTTCATTATTTGCAACCAGGATGCTTCCAAAAACCCCAGAAGTGCTCCCAAAACCTCCCATGCTTTGTATCGTTCTAGAATTGCCTATTTTGTTTAACTATTGAACAATTACAATTCATCACTTGCACCTTTATTTAATTCTAATTAATCTAGAAATTAATTTAAATTAAATCTGATTAATTCTTAATTAATTCTTATCGATTTAATATTAATTTATTAATCATATAAATCAACAAATAAATTATTTAACTATTGATATCATATTAATTTATTATTCATATAATAAATTGACAAATCTACTATTTATTTCTAATTAATATATTAATCATGTAATATATTAACAAATCATTTCCTTTCTTTTCTAATATCATTCCTAGCTATTTCTAGTTATGAGGGCAATCCAAAAGGACTTTTCTTTTAATAACAAGAATATACCAATTTAGTTATGAGCTTAGACACCTTACTCCAACATATTTAAAGGGTGGACATCATAAAGTGTAGCATGAAAGGAAACTTTGTTTGTTAAAATAATGTGCCACGTGCAACTCCACATCAAGATTCAGGTATGCATTTGTAGCCAAGCCTTGAAGTCATGGGATGCCTATCAACTACTAACTTTTACATTTACACCCTTCTAATTAGATCCACACCAAATGCATCATTACCAAATCTTACTTCAAATTGGTGATAGTCACTTTCCTTTCTCATTGTTGGGCAAATATCCAAATCCTATTCCTTAACCACGATCCATTTATTGTACATCATCTCTATGGCCCAAACCCTTATTTCTTCTAGCATTATGATGATTGGATTTTTCTAGCATCCCAGATTGTACTATTGAAACTTTCAAAGACACCATTTCCATAGCATCGAAGTTCCTCCCTTCTACAAAGAAAGTCGTTGACCATGATTTTGGGTCCCTTAAGATGATCATAGGCAGTGGGGTATATTTTCTTAATTACATCCATAACTCCTTCAAACTGTTGTATAGTGGTACTGTATACAACAACCCAAAACAATTCCATGTAAGGTTCACCATCAAACCTCTTCTTAAAATTAGCATTGATTTGTTGTGCACATTGCCTATACTATGCTTTTACAACCCTTTTTTCATGGCTTCTATCAATCAATGTCAAAATTAAAACTTGTTGGTGAATGTAAACTCAAATGTTAAACAATTATAAAGTAAAGAAAGCATACAAACTAATACCTTATGTCAATCTAAAATGATGGTAAGTCCACCACCATTTTCCTCCTCCAATGCCATCCATGAGAATGTCAAGAAACCACTTCCAAGTAGCTTTATTCTTAAAATTTACTACAACCCACACGATAGGGTAGATGTTATTTGCATCTCTACCTATTTCTATAAGAAGCTCACCCTTACAAATGCTTTTCAGGAAGCATCCATTTATCCCAATCACCTTTCCACATCCCTCAATCCAACCATCCTTAACACATTTGAAGCAAACATAGTACATTAAAAAATATGTAGTTGAGTCATTCATGATGTCCACATCCATTCTTACCATAGACTGCGGGTTAGACATCCCAATTTCTTCACCATAATCCTATAACCTTCCATAATGCTCAACCAAAGTGGCTTTAATCTCACTTAATGCAAACTTTCTTGCATTTCTACATTACCCCAAAATAACATTATATTAAACTTTTGGTAGAATTTGGCTTAAATTTTCCTTAAGCTCATATTTGGAAAGAATGTTCATCCTTCATCCAAGTGACCCATAGTCTAAATAGACACTAATGTGTTGTGCCTTTGCTACATTTAGCTAACAACCTATTCTTATCACTTTTTTCACACCATAAATTGTATCAATGATTCACAACATAATTACTTAGTAAACATTTAAGCCTATTAGGGTCAGAAAACTTCATACCTAATATAAGAACCATCTTCTTCTGATTTTGGGTTGGATCATAAACAAGATACACTAGTTTCACATCAACTTCTTCCCTTATTACATTTGTGTTTGAACCATATAAATGGATCATCAAATTGTTTCCAGATTGACACCACCCCATCCTCTTTATGGTCATGTGAAATTGAGTTTGAAAATGTGGAATCCTCTTCAAGGTTTTCATCCTCTACAACTGAATCATCTTCATCAGGGTTCTCTTCCTAAATCCAATCGAATGTGGGTTCATTATACTAATCAATGTGCACATTAATTCTTTTTGGTTGGCTTCCATTCCCAACCTCAAGGCATTCTTTGTATTCTCCTTGATTTTGAATTACCCCTAACCCTTCACTCGACCTTCATGTAGAAGACAATAGTAAACCTCCTTGCATATGGTCTTTGTAAGCTTTTTAAGGAATGTTATGAACTTTGAAAGTACCATTGCAATGAAGTTGACATCTCATACAAATGCTATGGATCGAATATACAAGGGGGTTGAGGCTAAATGCACCATTATAGTGGACGTCGACTATCAAGGACAATCCATCCATCATTACAGTTAAAGAAGCGGGGGGGGGGGGGGGGGGGAGTTTGATTGCAGGTGTTTGACGTTCAACGTTGTTATCCGGGTGAATGAAAGGAACAGTGAGAAGGAACAAATGGGAAGTTTAGTTCTTTATCAACCCTAAATTAAGTTATGTTCCACTTAATGTGTGTATAATGCCACATAATATAAAACCATGCCACGCAATTTGTCAAATCAGCTTAACATAAGATCACGGGTCGTTTTACCTTAAGGCTAACCGGTATGGGGGAGTTTCACGCGTCTTGGGATGAGGTGGCGCGCCTCCCCACACGTGAACACCACCCCAAGGGTGGGTGGTTTGCGTGTGACGTGAGTCGGAAGACGGATAAAGACGGAGACTTTGATTAGTCAATTCAGTTTTAGTCATTGGAAGCTATACGAAAAAAAAAGATCTTTACAATTTATGTTGCAGGTGTTCTAATGGAGGAAGCCATAAAGACCTCGTATAATCACGAAGGAAGAAGGCACATTTTTCAACAATTGTCAACTTTGGTCCCTTAAGTTTGGATCAAATGCAGAACAAATTTGTTTCTTAATTTTTTTTCTTAAAACTGGTTTATAAAATTTACAAATTCCACTCTAGACTTTATTATTATTATTATTATTAGTAGTAGTAGTAGTATTTTCTATGTTTTTATTAATTAGGTTTTTTTTAATATAAAAAAATATATTGTGAAGCGGTGATCATTTCCTATACGTAGTGAAATGGTGATGAGTTGAGTGTGAAACTAACGTGATGCATATGTGATAATACTTTTCCGGTGGGATGAATGTGACCACTTCAAAACCTAAATTGAATAGACTAACAAGTTCAACTCACAAATATAAATGTATGAAAAAACATAGTTATTCATTAAAAGCCTAAATTATTTGTATGATGACTAAGATCCAATTTATTTGATACCCATATAAAATCCCATTTTGTTGGAAAATATATAAATATTAAAAACTGAAGGAGCACACAATAATTAAGCAAGTACAGCGAATCTCCTCTTTACTTCAACCCATATTATTCTCTCTCGTCTAATCAGGTATGCTCTCTCTTGCTACATAGATTGACACATTGTTTACAACTCTCTCGGAAATTACTTTCATTTTCCGCTAACTCAGATTCAGTTGTAAGTATCAATGGTTTTGTTTCGTTTTTTCTGGAATTGCATTAAAATTCGAATAATTTGTGTTTTTTTTTTTTTTTGTTTGTTTGTATCCTGATGATTTGCGTCAAGGAATATATCATCGAAGCTATTTTTCTGTATGTGGAGATTAATTTAGTTATCCTTTAGGTTTCGTAGTATGCACATGAAATAGGAAGATTTGAATTTGAAAACCTAACGCAGCTAATTTCGAGCACTTAGGGTTTAGTATTTTCGAGTAATGTAATGCGTTATGAGTATTACATGTGGAGTTATAGTTGAGGTCTAGATAGTGAAGAACATACTTGTACCTTTTCATCCATGGGAGAAATTAGAGTGGGGGAGGTATGTGTTGGGAAATTGATATTATTAGTTTGTGAAAAATTGAATTCACCTTGTTGAAATGCAGAGTAAAACAATCAAAAGGTAAGCGTGAGAAAGAAATAAACAATAATTATGAAAAGGAAATCTTCCCCTGAATCAACCATCAAGGTTTTCACTTTTATTAGGAATCATATGTAAATCACAATCTGTTGTATAATAATATCGATTATAACATGATCTGAATTCTGAAACCCTAGATTAAAGACCCAACAGTTGATCTCATCAATGCCATCATTTGTTGTGTGATAGTATCATTGATCCACATTATTATCTTCCAAGTACATCAAGAATTATATTATTGCATCTTATGAGATATTATTATGCATTTTGATTCATAGTTAACATGGTGTGTGTGTGTGTGTTGTTGAATACATTTTCTTGTTGTAGAGTGATGATAAAAGATAATGAAAACACTATGCACACTGGACATGTTCGGCGTCGTAAAGGTTCAAATGAGGTAAATTTTATAATCTTTGTGAAATATATTTCAAACATATATACTCAACTATATTTTCTTAAACTATCATATAGCTATACATGAAAAGATCATAAGCTATTGTTTTATTGGAAGGAAATGAGATTCCTTTTGTTTGTATATTGATGTTTGGTTTGTAGAAAGGATTTTTGGAGTGTAGAAAAATGACAAATGACAGGATTGTCCTTTTGGATATCTTTAAAACCTCAACAAAGAAACTTTGCAATATACTAATACCTTAAGATTCTTTCCCTTTGAGTGTCATAATTGGGATAGTTTTGTACTTTTATCACTTCAAATTCAAAGAAAGCCATGTCTTTTTCGAAAAGAAATAAAAGATCAATGACATTTGCATGTTGAATATCAGGTTCCAGGTGATGTTGACCAAACAAGTGGAACCAAATTATTGGCAACAGATCAAAATAAGTACAAGTCAATGTTGGTTCGTGCTTATTCAACTATTTGGATGATTGGTGGCTTTATATTTGTTGTCTACATGGGACATCTCTATATATGGGCAATGATTGTCATAATACAAATCTTTATGGCTAAAGAGTTGTTCAATTTATTAATCAAAGCACATGAAGAGAAACAGCTTCCAGGATTTAGGCTTTTGAACTGGTAAGTTCAACAAGCATTCGTTTAGGCCCTGTTTGTGTAAAAGACGTGAATGCCCTTTTCATTCTCATCATCGAAAATAGCCATAGAAAGCTCAAAACAAGCATCTCTTTAGGGCCCGTTTGTGCAAAAAGACGTAAATGCCCTCCTTGTTTATGCAAAAGACGTGAATGTCTCTCCTCATCTCATCATTGAAAATAGCCAGAGAAAGCTCAAAACAAGCTGTCTTTTTGGTCCCTATTTGTGCAAAGGACGTAAATGCCCTCCTTGTTTGTGCAAAAGACGTGAATGCCCTTTTCATTCTCATTATCGAAAATAGCCATGGAAAGCTCAAAACATTCATCTTTTTGGTCTCCATTTGTGCAAAAGACGTAAATGCCCTCCTTGTTTGTGCAAAAGACATGAATGCCCTTTTCATTCTCATCATCGAAAATAGCCATGGAAAGCTCAAAAAAAGCATCTTTTTGGTCCCCTATTTGTGCAGAAAGACGTAAATGTCCTCCTTGTTTATGCAAAAGACATGAATGCCTTTTTTATTCTCATTATCAAAAATAGCCATGGAAAGCTCAAAACAAGCCTCTTTTTGGTCCCCCATTTGTGCAAAAAGACGTAAATGCCCTCCTTGTTTGAGCAAAAGACATGAATGCCCTTTTCATTCTCATTATCGAAAACATCCATGGAAAGGTCGCTTGATTGGACAAAAATGAGACTTGAACACAAGAAGCTTTCTAGGGTTATTTACAATGATGAGGATGAAAAGGGCATTTATGTCTTTTGCACAAACAAGAGAGGGAACTTAAATGAATTGTTGATTCATGTTTGTATCAGGCACATTTTCTTCACAGCAATGTTATTTGTATATGGTCGGATTCTTAGTCAACGGTTGGTCAACACAGTTACAACTGACAAGTTTTGGTATAAACTTGTGGGAAATCTTATCAAATACCACATGGTCACCTGTTATTTCTTGTATATAACAGGTTTGTCAATTGTCAACATCATTTTTTTATTAAAAAAAAAAAAAAAAAAAAAACTTTCACATCAATATTTTTCTCAAAACTTGAAAAAATGAATCCAGTTATAACAATGAAAATTGATTTAGGTTTTGTGTGGTTTATTCTTTCACTAAAAAAGAAGATGTACAAGTATCAATTTGGGCAATATGCATGGACTCATATGATCCTTATTGTGGTTTTCACTCAATCATCTTTCACTGTTGCCAACATTTTTGAAGGAATTTTCTGGTATTACAAATTTTACAATTATAATTTAATAAATTATATTTAAGGTCAAATTCTACTTAATACTTATGTTTGAATAATGCAGGTTTCTTCTTCCAGCATCACTGATTGTGATTAATGATATTGCTGCTTACATTTTTGGTTTCTTTTTTGGAAGAACTCCATTGATTCAATTATCCCCAAAAAAAACTTGGGAAGGATTCATTGGGGCTTCTGTTTCAACCATTATATCTGCCTTTGTGGTAATTAATTATACATATAATTTTTTTTATAAAATTTGTTTAATCTTTAATTGTCTGCACAGCTTGTTAATCTTTTTGGACGCTTCCAATGGTTGACCTGTCCTAGAAAGGTGATTCATTTGTATTTTAACATCCATACTCATAATAAATAAATAAATAAATAATAATAGTTAAAGACAAAATAATAACTGATGCAGGATTTGTCAACTGGATGGCTTCAATGTGACCCTGACCCTTTGTTTAAGCCTGAGAATTTTGTGTTACCCGAATGGGTAAGTTAAATGCAAGAAGTAACAATTTATTTTCTTATTATGAGATTTTACTTTTTTAATTTTTTAATTTGTTAGTTTCCATGGAAAGAGATGCAAATTCTGCCAGTGCAATGGCATGCATTGGGACTTGGACTTTTTGCTTCAATAATTGCACCTTTTGGTGGCTTCTTTGCTAGTGGTTTCAAAAGAGCCTTTAACATCAAGGTATTTGTTTCCTTTGCTTTTCCACATAACAAATTCATATTTATTTATCTTTTTTTTTTTTTTAAATTGCCATAATTTTTCTGTAGGATTTTGGGGATAGTATTCCCGGACATGGTGGGATGACAGACAGAATGGACTGCCAGGTCAGTGATTAAATGCAAGAAATAGCAATGTGCTTTAATGGTTTATAAATTTTATAAATTTTATAAAAGTAAAGTTGCTTATTATCATTTATTATTACTGCTGATGTTTTTTTTTAAAAAAAAAAAAACTTACAGATGGTTATGGCTGTGTTTGCATACATATATCACCAGTCATTTATTGTTGCTCAAAGCGTATCACTTGGGATGATTTTAGACCAGGTATTCATTCCAACACCACCTTCTGTTTATAATTAATAATTTCAGTTACACAAAAATTTCATTAATGCAAATATTTTGAATTAATTTTATCAGATTGTAATGAATCTCTCATATGAGGAACAACGTGAGCTCTACACCAAACTTGGACAGATCATTAAAGACCACCAATTTGGTGAAACCTGATTTTTTTTTTCTTTTTTTAATCATAGATT